AGCCAAGACGAAATTACAGGACCAAGTGCCTTTTTTTAAAATGGAATGCTATGTGTATCAGTACATTTTTTGAAGCCTCTTTCTAGGCTCTATTCATTCCTATATTATTATTGGCTATCTCCCAACCACTTTGATGTAATAAATTTTTTTGTTGAAATAATGCCATCTGCAGATGGATATTAAAAAATCAACACAGTCACAATTATGGGTTTTAAGAAAAACTTATGTGAATACCAGTTACGAGACATCTAATTAATGTTTTTGAATCATTTTCATTTCCTAAAAATGTACAGGGTGGCCAAAAATTAGTAATCAATTAAGAACTTTTTAAATTGAATTTTCTCAACTTTTTCAAATGGAACACCCTTGTATATTTTTCAACGATGTGATGTAAAAATGAAAAAAAGATCATTTTTTGTAAGTACTTCCCTATGGCTAATTGCAACCATTTTCGTTTTATTGAGCAATAATTACAACATTCAAAAATAAACTTAAAAAAAGAGGTTTCTTCAAATAACTCAGTAGAAAAAATTATAATAAATGTTCCATATGTTGGCCATTTTGATTGACACACATCTCTATGCGCTTTTGAAATGAGGTTCCCACTGTTCCTAAAACTGCCGGTGTGATAGATCTAAAGGCATAGTTATTATTCTTTCCTTCATATTTTGTACTGTTGTTGGTGTATCTCTATAAACAATTTCCTTCACGTATCCCCATAAACAGAAATCCATTTTTTAAGATCTGGGGATCTAGCAGGCCATTTAGTGGGTCCATTTCTTCCAATCCGTTTAAAAAAAAGGCACTTGGTCCTGTAATTTCGTCTTGGCTAGCCCTGTATGTTCGAAAATAATTTCCAGTTATAGACTTTTTTATCTAGTTTACTTGCAATTTTTTTAAAAATTTCTAGAAGAACTCGAGATATCGAGGTCCGACGCACTATTGCCCCACCCTGTATATCATCCTGATCTAAAGAAATCATTTTATTTAATTCTTCACCTACCTCAATTCAATTTTAATAGCGTAGTAATCTTACCTGCCAAATTTCGAAAGTCTCCCATTAGTATTTTTTGAGTTATCGCGGATACACACATACACACACACACACACACATCCACACACACGCACCGACAGACATCATTCGGAAAATAGTCAGAATGGATTCAGAAAGGTTCAAAACGTACATATCAATCAAAATCTGGAGGTCGAAAAAAATCACGATTACTATACTTCCTTATATTAGGTATAAGATAGTAAAACATAACTTTATGAAAAAAAAATCTGTCCGCATGTCTGTAGTATCGCGAGATAAAGCTTTCAAATTTGGTACACTTGTTCTAAAGGCCAAAGACAATGAAAAATTCGGTGATGAGCAAAATTGGCCAGCTGAATGGGGGTCCACGGGACTTTACAAAAAAACATATTCTTGATGAAAGATTATATATCATGTCTACTATTTCAAGCGGATAAAATATATTTTCCAAGTACCTAAAGCTGATGTAAACTGAAATATTTTACACATTTGGCCTCATAAAATGGGGTTAGGATAAATTTACTAGTTTGACATTTGAAAGGTCTAATTTAGTTACAAAAATGTCAGTGTCAATAACAAAAAATTATTAAAAATATGACATGAATTATTATTGACAGTATCGATTGACGCTGATAATTAATTATTTAAAATTTTAATGACACATTTCAAGGTAGCTACGCTATTAAAATTTAATTGAGATAAGTGGAGAATTAAATAAAATGATTTTTTTAGATCAGGATGATATTGTATAGTGGTATAAGAAAGTTATGTGCTGGCCACATCAGATATTTTTATACATGCAATTATAGTAGTGTTTTCGATTAAGTGGCAATATAAATTTGTAAATCACACTTAAACTTGTTCTATTCATGACTGATAATCGAAAATGAAAACTACTATTTCATTTTGATTTAATAAATTAAATTACAGGCAAAACCAGTGGCAGCTGGTGAAAAAGAGTTATGTCATATCTTAATGTTCTTCGTGGACGAATGGTAAGGACACTTGCCTCTCACCCTGGAGTCCCGTGTTAGATCGCCGGTCGAGGAGCTAGGATTTTTTCTAAACCAGAATTAATCCTAGCATACTCGGACATTGGGTGTGCGTCCATTATCTCTAAATGTGTAGTAGCCCTTCTTTTTCTGTTTTGTGGTAGCCCTCTCCCACACGAGGTACCTTGAGGTACCTTCAGGGATACAGATGGTTTTATTACCTGTGGTATTTAATTTAATTTTTATTTTAATGTTAAGCTTGGGACCCATATTTCAAGGTATGACGTCCGTTTTTGAAATTTGCTAGAACCGAGATACGACTTTCTTAATCGCACCGTTAATTGAAGTATAATATTTCAATTAACGAACGCACCTAATATGTGTACCTAGCTTTCCACATAAACCGTTTGGCGTCTGTGTTGGTTGTATGTGCACGAGCATGAGCATGACTAGCATGATCATGCATAAACATTTTAAAAACCTTACCTACAGATGTGATATTCTACCCAGATTCCAGACCATCCCGTACGGAACCTACAAAAGAAGGGAAAGCTTAAAAACAATGCCTATTTATTAATAAAAAAATACAAAAAAGCGCAGTCGGGGGGTTCCCAAATGTGAATACTAATTTGACTAATATTTTGCTATGGGTAGATACAGTGCTATTATACATATAAATATATTTACAATTTGCCAAATAATAATCAAGGTGTATATTTCTCTAAGGTGTACACATAGATGGTGTACACCTGCATCATTCGCGTGGCTGCATTAGTGCAAACCGGTTTGAGCTACCAAACACCAAACAGACCCTATATACACACAAAAAGCCAATACATATACGCCACAGAACACAAAACAATAAGGAATGTGCGTATGACGTCACAGCTAACTTAAAAAAAAACTTTCTTGAGATTCTTACGTTATGACGTCAGTTTATACTTAAATTTTTGCTTGGAATATTCGACCAGTCATAAATGGTTGAAGCTTAAAACCTTCAAAAATACGCTTCAATGTTTTATCTAAAAAAATTGTATTTACATATAAGGGTAATTTTCACGACATACCAAGAATGTAGTGAATGGTTACTAGTGGTATCACCCCCTCGGCAGGAAAAAAACATGCCCAAACCGTTTATGTTTTGATTAATAAAATTGCTATCTTCATTGCATATTTCCCTAATTTACTGGTGTCGCGAAAACGTAGTGGTTGTGGTATATCACGAAAATTACCTTATAGTGAAATAACAACAAAACAATCTGTGAGATACCGAAATACCACACAGAAATAGGCTTTAGGGATACAGGGGTGGTGTTAAAAAAAATAGTTTTATAAATCACAGATTGAAAATATTTCCAAATATTTCATTTGCACTTGGCATGTTTATGTGTTTATTTTCCTAGAATATTACTTATTTTTATTTAAACAATGGAAGAAGAACGAGTTATTCCGAATTCTAACAAAACAATCTTGTTTTTTATCTATCAGTGAATCATGATTGCTTTGTTGGTACGGTTCACGGTTCATAAACTCTGTTGATACATTCTGGCAGAGACGTGGTTGTCTCTGATTCTGGTAAAAAATGTCAAAGCCAGTCTTTGGAAATACATATGAACTCTATGTGCAGATTGTGCACATAACCTATAAAGAATAGAAAGTAAAAGATGTGTGAAATTGAAGACAAATGAAGTGGACAAGTGTTTTGAAAATTTATTCAGTTTATCTTATTTCCTTTTAATTACTGCTGCATATTAAAATTTATACTGTTCGTACATACATGAAATGGTAATTTAATAAAATATTTTGATATCTATAAAGTTTTATCTTAAATGATATCCAGCTCACAATTCTGTATGTGTTCCTCTGACAGACTTGCTTTATTAGCATGGCTCGACAATTTGTATCAGATATAATCATTTGTATTAATTTAGCTCATGATACAATCATAGCTTTAATATTAACAAACAATAGCCTAGTCTCATTTTAACAGCAATAAATGAAACATCAAGACACTGGCGAATATGATCACAGAATACCTTAAGTAAATACTCTGTGAAATGATCAGAGACAACATATGATAAGCATTTCTTTGCACTCTTATAAATTAATATATTTAATCATAAGTATTAAGTAGGAAATTTCATTCATAAAGCTATTTATCTTTGATAATATTTTGTTTTTCTCTACTATAATTTTATCTTGTTTTTAGGATTTGGCAAATTCATGTCTATTTGGAGCACTGGCCCTATCGGCCTAGATTTGGGCAAAACATCTAATAGCAACATTGATAATAGAAATAACATTCTATTTAATAGAAATAAGCACAGTATTAAGGTAATTTTTTTATTTCAGCTAAATAATATGCAACTGAATTATTAAAAATTAAATAATATAAAATATCAGTATCTGTTTACTAAAACCAGGTATGTAAAATTAATTCAAAATAAGTTATTGTTAATGAGTTGTTTATATAGGCAAAAATTTGCTTGTGCTTAAAAAAAAGTAAAAAATTCACAAATATCAAGCTAATGAATAACTCAGGCAGGGTAACTATAAAATTCAGATATAAAAAATTATAAGGATAATAATAATATAAGAGTAAAAGTGTCAACTTTAACATTGTAGAAAATTTTCACCACACATGAATTTGTTTTTACTTGAGGCACATTCATAACTCATTTGTTTGATTTTCAGGAATAAAGGACCCAGTATGACATTAGTATTGGATTTTTTTAGTGTTGAATAATAACTTTCATATCCGTAAAAAAATATGTTATTTAAGTATTTAAGTAAAATCATAATTAGCTTGTCAAGAAATTGTGAAATTTCTATTAATTAGTATTTTTTTTATGAAAATCAAAACAAATTATTCCAAACGAATGAAGATAAAAGTGTAAAGAGATAAAAAATAAGTGGGCACTCTAAACCATAAATGATATCTATTCTGCAAGTAAGTTATACATTCAAATATTGTCGGCTCAGTGGTTCGGTGCTTATACGTTTGGCTTAACATCAAAAGGTCCCGGGTTCGAATCCTGGCTAGGGCATGATTGTATAGTGGCGTTTTTAAAATACCGAGATGATAGCACAATTGGCTAGAGCATTGTTGCGTGGCAGAACATGGCTAGTCGCTGTCTATCTCTCCTGAGTTTGAGTCTTCGCCTCGGTATCTGGCAAATGTTGGAAGGAATGGTTGTTGTGTGTGTGTGCCATACCCGTCTTGGTTGAATGGTGAAATAGCAATGTGCTAAACTTCACCAGGATGTGAATATAAATAAGAGGTTAAAAAAAATGTCTAATAATAGGAAATAGTTTCTAATTGGGTAAATACTTGCATAAATACTGAACTAGCTACTGAAATGCAATACAGTTTTGAGGGGTATGTAGTGAGTGTGTGTTTACTTGGATAAATTTATTCGAATATTATTTGGATACACTTATTTGAATAAATTTATTCAAATAATTTTATTAAGGTAAATTTGTCTGGACAATTTTAATTGAATAATTTTATTGACAAATTTATTCGAATAATTTATGGATAGAATTATTCAAATAAAATTAAGCGAATAAAATTATTGGAATAAAAATATCCAAATAAATAAAATCAAATAAAAATATCCATATACAGCTAAATTTTCTATTGCAAATCCGGATATCCATTTTATCCAATCCAACTTAACAGGCCTTGTATATAGCTTCTAAAAATTTTAAAATTCTTATTTGTACTTTAATTTTACTCGTTACATACAGGGAGTCTCATGAGGAACTGCATCAATCGATAGAGGGAAAAGTACGCACCAGAAAATTTTTAAAATTTAGTGGACTACTAACGACTGTGGCCAATCCAACTAAATAATATTATGCTCTCTTCGAAAAACCTAAAATATATAGGGTATTCCATTTAAAATAAGCAAGTTTTTATCAACTTCCGGTATAACCGGACGTGCCAGATGCTTGTAATTATTTTGGTTGGATTGACCACATTGCTTTCAGCAATTCCTTAAATTTTCAAAATTTTCTGGTGCGTACTTTTCCCAATATCGATCTATGCAGTTCCTGGTGAGACACCCTGTATATTGCTCGAATCGGAGTGCATATCTCATTGTTAGTGTACAACTAAAGACAATCAGTTTGCTTAATAACTATCTGTTCATTTATTAACTTTTCCATTTTCAGTGTAACAAGATGTCACAGTTAGAGGACAAACTCCATACCCCTCGCTACCTGTCCTGGCGAAAACTGCACTTATCTAGGGCCAAACTGAAGGCCTCAAGTAAAACCTCAGCGCTCCTTTCTGGATTTGCAATGGTTGCCATGGTTGAACTTCAGATCACAAAAGATCAAAACATTCCAGTTCCTGTGCTTGTAATTTTTGCGATTATAACAACACTCTTGGTGGCCGTGCATATGTTGGCACTGATGATAAGTACCTGCATTTTACCAAACATTGAAGCAATCTGTAGTTTAGACACTATTAACTTGGTGGAAGAATCGCCACATGAGCGTTTGCATTGGTACATCGAGACAGCTTGGGCTTTTTCAACATTAATAGGACTTTTATTGTTTTTAGCTGAAATAGCTATACTTTGTTGGATTAAATTCTTTTCTATAAACACAGCTGCGGCATGGTCAGGTAGCGTAATACTTATCCCGATATTATTTGTATTTTTGGCATTTGCCATACACTTTTATAGGTCTCTCGTTGCCCATAAATATGAAACGACACTTTCGGGCATTCGGGAATTAGAATTATTAAAGGAAAAAATGGAACAAGGTGACATGGAAGATCATGGAAATGGATACAGTGATTTAATTCAGGGAATACACGTGGTTTAAGAGCCATTTACATATTCTTGCAACGCTACAAGTTTTCTGTTGTGATTAATGAACATTTACTCGGTTCCTTCAAATACAACTGCACGTTGTACTTAGTATGGACAATAAAAGATCTACTGGCAACTGGACATACATAAGTGGTACGAGTTTGATCCCCACTTATCGCAAAGTAATTTGTAATTATAAAAATTATTCCCAAGATTTTTGGACTTCACTAGGAACTGTGGGTTCCCTTCGCCTCCACTCAAAAAAAATTTAGTGTTGCTGGGTTTTTGATAGTTACTTAGGTGACTTGGAAGGCGATTAAAAAACAGTTCTCAACCTTCTTTTTTATTTTTTCTTCAAAGCTACTCACCGTCTGTTAGTAGCAGAAGTATATTCAATAGAAGCAATGCTTCACTCTGTTCATACATTAACAAAACCCATTAAAATTGTACAAGTTTGCCATTTTTTAACCTTGTGATAACAGGATATCACAATGGGCCAAACTTGGCTGCCTTGCTAATGGACTATTTGGGGTATGTTTTATAAATTGAATTTATGTGTGCAACAATGACACCACGCTATTTTTGTCTTCTTTCAAATTCACAGAAACCATGTACAAGTGCGATCAAAATGATGTCGCCGAGATTGAAGAAATTTAGAACTGCTGACTACTGTATTTAATCACATTAATTGATCTACTTGCCCAATTTCAAAATTAATTGCAACATAATTGCACAAATGTAAGATAGCCAAAATATCTTTATGACATTAACCAATAATAAATTGCCTTAACATAATATGTGATTAAATAAACATTTTAACAAAATATTCGAAATGCTAGTCCGAAGAAAAAAAATTATAAACCAAACTGTACATGAGTGAAAGTATTATTTAATTCAAAATAGTACTTCATGCTACAAAAATTGACAAGCTTATGTATGTATAAGATCAACAAGTTGCAATTTATAAATCTTTTTTTTACATATTTGTATTTGTTGATATGTTACTCTGGTTTTAAATGATATTCTTAATCGATATAAGACAAGGGGCTGTGCAAAATTTGTTACGTGCATTGAGATTAATGAGAGTTATAATAGTTGTATACATTTTTTAATAATGTTGGTTGTAATCGTGGTTATGATTTTTTTATGAAATGCAATGTTGTGAAAGTTTATGAAATCAAAAAATATATACAAGAGAAAATGGATTATGCCATATATTCCAAAATGGAAATAGCGACGCAGTTGCAGATGTTAATATTTCAGAATTATTATCTCATCACTGCAGTGTAGCTTAAGGAATGGGATCAATCGGAAACAAAAATTGAAAATAGTATGCAGTCCTTCATTTGCGATATCATCGGCTCTTTCCACCTGGCAAAGAGACAAATACAACAAGTGAACGTTTATGGTGTCAAAGAATACATAACAAGAAAAAAGATGTACCATAACAATTTTGGGATATATGAAAATAACACAGGTTGTTTGTGATTTTGCGAATTATTTTTTGAGGATAAGTATATCTTGACATAATAAATTGTACAGTGCATAAAAAAACTTTAAAAATTAGAAAACATAACTAGTGCTCGGAATTTGGCTATTAATGTCATCAAACCAGGACTGGCTGTAGGTTATGTGCTAGCACGTAAATAAGTTCGTTGCATATATGATACAATATATCTTACCTTGTAATTTTTTTGCGATTTCCATAATATCCAAAGTTGATAAAGTCAATTTATTATAAGCACTCACTCGAAGACGACTGGAGGTATTGGGGAATGTAACACTAACACACACCCACATAAATATTTTTCATTACCAATTACCTACAAGAATATAGGTTAGTAGATTGTTGGGTCAGCTTGGCATGGGAAGCGTTTGAAGACCGTGGGAACTTTAATTTTTATCAACATCCACCCATTTTGACTGTGAGAACCTTTGTCAGCATACATCAAAGGGAACCGTGGGTCATGTGTAATATAATTGACTGTCACCAGATATGAATGATGTTGAAGTATCTATTTTTGCCAACTCCTGTGGCTTCCGTACTAGGTCCCCCTCCTACGACCCCCCACACTAGAAATTCTGGCCCTAGCATGGGGGCCTTAGTATAAGTGAGGCATTCATAAATTAAAGTATAGTATAAGTTTGCAGAGTCATTCCATCCAAAACAAACATTTAGAAACCAAAAAGGCATTAGGTACAGGGTTGATACCCCCTACCGCTGAGTATCCCTTAATAAGGAACCAATATCTTTACAGAATTTATATATCTCCAGCCGTTCGCGAGTTATAAGGAAAAACATAGGGACATCGCCCCCAAATTTGGCTAGTAGTGTAAAACAGAACTTTTTTTGTGTCATACGTTTTCCGATAAAACTAGTTTACATATTTACATTTTAAAATGAAATAAAATTCACTCTATTATGTTGTACAAAATTCTGTTTTTCTATTATTTGGGAATGTTTCAGTAGGTGTTTGCAGTATAATATTATATCCTCGTAAAAGCCTTCACTGGTAACTGACACCTCTATTTGAGCTGTAATAATAACTAAGCCTGGCCAAGCGATGGTAGATTCAGGGTCGGGCGCAATACCAATGCCATCGCGCGCTTGTTTACGATGCACGACACACTTCAGTTGTTATCTGTCGGTCGATGCATAGAGTACTAATAAATAATAAATAATGTTGAGTATAAAGAGTAGAAAACGACCGTACGCTGATAAAGTGAATAAATTTATCGGTGAATTTCCGGATTTATTCTATGATGGATGTAAAATAATTTGTAGTTTCTGATCAAGACTTAATGTGCTGGAATAAATACGGCTGCAAAATTCATGTCAATAGTAACCGGCATAAAAAGAAAAAAATGGCGTGTCTTCTTTGGAACCTCAGTTTATGTTTGATTTACTGTTAATGCTGATTGCCTGTGATGTTCCCCTGCGCATATTGGATAAACCAGCATTTCGGGAGTTTTGGAATAAATACAATCCCTAGGTGAATTTACCAAGTCGTTCATCGTTACGTAGATATGTACCAAGTGTTCATGAAGGCATTATAAATAGGATTAAATGTGCTTTAAAAAAATACATGGCTGTGGTTATGTGTTGACGAGACGACAGATTGTAAAAAAAATTCTATTTTAAATGTTATAGTACGTGTACTCGACTCTGTTAAACCAACATTTCCACTTTTACTAGCTAGCAAAAACTAACTGCGTGTACTGGC